AAAAAAGAGTTTTACAGAACAAAAAAATTAAGTGTTTATTGTGTTGGTGTTGGTTAATTTTTCCGACAGGGTGGTAAGTTGATTTATTTTGGAACGAATTTTTGATTTGTTTATTCTCAAAAATAATAAAGTACTCTATTATCGTTAACTTAAAAACAAAAAAAAAACAAAAACATAATTTCGACTTTCAAACTTAAAAAGAAAAAATAAAAACTTACCTCCGCCAAAAAATGTTACGTTAGTGGTCACTTGGGCTCAGCACTCAAGAGAGTAGCGACACATGTGTACGCGACGATGTTCTAGCCGTGACTAGCGTTGCCGTTTTGGTTAAATTTCAGCAAAATTTATTAATTTTTTCCCGCCTGTTAAAATGTTAAATTGTTCTTCGTTTTGCAACCTTTTTTACTAAACGATTCAAAAAGAATAATTTTCCTAAAAAATTCATTTCTGACTATGAGACAATTTTCAATCAATTTTTCAATTTTATTTTAGGATCCCGTATAAGGTTCCAGGAAATGTTGCTCTATGCAACTCCCGATCCGCGGTCGTCACATTTTCAAACCTCCGAGTATTCTTCTGCAATGAAATCGTTTCTCATAAAATCCATTTGCAGCTCTTTATTATAGTTAACTTTAAGAAGGAAAAGCATAACTTGCTGTAAGTGGTCGAATGGGCTCGGGACTAAAGAGAAAAGTGACGCATGTGAACACGCCGATGTTGTGACCGTGACTAGTTTACGTAACCCGTGGGGGAGTTAGGACACTAGAAAGAGCGTGAGCGCGCTCCAAGCGCTCCAAGACATTTTTTTTTTTTAACTTGAAATGGCCTTGACTCCATGCGCCTAATTAAGGGTTATGCATTACTTCACATTTATTACTTATCCCTCATTTCACCTGCATTCAGGTCCCGCTTTTTCCTTATCAGCACTTCCTCTATGAATTCGACTGCCAGTTTGTTCGACACATGCTCATCTTGAGAACAATGTTTGCAACACTTAGTGTTCCTATTTTCTCTTCTACTTGCTTCTACTTGCGCGCGAGACTCGCAGTGCATTGCACCGATAAGAAAATTTTCCGCCATTTGTCTGCCTTAAGGGTTTCTGCCCATAGTCGCTGCCGTAAAGGAGGACTGAATTTATTGTACTCATCAGCAGTTTTCTCTTCATTTGCGTGGGCTGAGCGCCGCTACCGCTTTAGACGCTTTAGTGTTTCTAGGTAGTTGATTGCTTGCTTAGTCTTCGTGGTGTTTGACAAGACTGACATCTCAAGTGTCACTGGTACTAGTTTGAGCCCTCCAGAATCTTGCCATGCTTTTATCCTCATCATTGATAAAGATTGATTTGTGCTTCTTCAAAGTCTCTGGCTGTAATCAAAGCAGCAACATCTTCTGCGCAGGCTACGAGGTTTGTGTTGTGATATTCCAGAGATCTGGCCCGAGAATTGATCGCTGCGCTTCTCCTGACGTTAACCTTTTTAGACCGGCGACCATTTGACGCCTCATATATTAGTTACCTGCATTTGAGATAGCTCCTACGGTGCATCCGTGTTGTCTTTCCAATAATCCCCCGGTTGCGTTTATTGCTTCCAGTAGTCGTATGTAAGTACGTACCTATGTGCATTAGGGCGGTCCTTAAATATAGGAAGCAAATTTTTACAACAGATTTCCTAGGCCTCAACCCGTATAGTCGAAGATATTACATATAAATTTGGTTCCCGATTGGAGACGGTTAAGACGTGTCGCACGTGGGGCAAAGTTTGAGTATTAAATGAAACAAATATTTTTAAATTTTTGAGTCTCCAAAGAGGCATCTGGCCTTTGACCCCTTTGCGACACGCCTTAACCGACTCCAATCGGGACCAAAATTTATATGTGATATCTTTGACTGTGGTATTACCGACTGAGGGGGTGAGACTGAAAAAAATCATTCATTTAGTTTTGAAGGACCACCCTAATGTGCATTTATAAGTAGACAGTTGATCTTAAATAAACTTAATTTTTACTTTTTGTCATAAACATGATTGAAATATATTTACATATACATATACATACTAACATACATCTATGCAAATTTACCTCCATCTCGATTCATTTTCATATGAATGACATCAGCTGTTAAAAAACTCTTCTTCAACTAGCATCATTTTTAGTGAATAAATGCGGTCGCGAATAATCTCAAGTCAAAGCAAGCAGAACAGCTGATGGCTAAGCACTTTGCATGGGCGGCAGTGTTTTTTTTTTTCTTTCATTATTATTCCTTGACTGTTCAAATAACGCTGCAGCTTGGCCACTTGGCTAACTAACTACATATGTATGTATTTGCTTCGTAAACGCTGCAAGTTTCCTAAGGCAATCAAAGCTGCTGGTTACCACTTGCCGTCGACGGTTAGCCAGTGTGTCTGTTTGTCAATCTGTTGGTGGTCGACTAACGCCGCCAGTTGGCAGTTGGCGGTTACTAGCCGTCCAAATGCTGCTGGCGTTTCGGTCGGACGCTCTTACCATGTTTGTATATTTTTTTCGCATTTTTATTTGTTTACCTTTATTTTTACAAAGTTTTTTTTTAGTATTTATCCGTGCAATTTTGTTGTTATCTGAAGTGGCAGACAAGCAACTTGTATTGTCAGTGCCGTCATATGTACTCGTAGCTGTCTGTCTGTCTGTTGCTTTTGCTCTGCGACTAGTAACTTCACGACTTTTTTGGCTTTTATGGTTGGGCAAGCTGGTTGGTTCGCTCGCATCGCTTCGAAACTGGGTCTGTTGTGATGAAATGTGGACATGTTGTTGTTTCTATTGCGGCCGTATTAGCTGAAATTGTTATGTTTTCAGCGTGTTCGTGTTGCTGTAGGAATTTTCGCTCATACATATGTTCGCATGCTGAATCACCAAACGCCTGGCGGGCCAACAGGTAGCAGTCGTTTTTACGCAGAGAAGAGAAGAATAATGTGGCGGCAATGCGAGTAACAGCAATCGACCGGTTGGCCTAAGTAAGTCAGTTATCGAAGTTTTTAGCCAACAGTCAACCATTCATTTAAGCCTTCATTCAACAGTTGAATACATATTAACAGTCTGCAGTTGTTCAAACGCATTTCCTATGCACAGTGGCTCTAGTGGCAGTGCCTGAATTTTGTATTGCCCGAAATCCATACAGCTGTGGGAGCATTGCCCAAGTGGCGATGAGGCGGTCCTGAAATTATTCGAGTCAAAACATCCATTTGACATCTTTAAAATAAAAAAAAGAGAAACCCTTCACCATACAAACACATGACTGGCGGATTTATCAGCAGTTGGAATCTGTACTATAATTTAGCTATTTGACCTGAATAATTCTCTAGGCTTATGGCTATAAAGGTGTCTACATTTTAAGTAGCAATATTAGTAATAAGCTTTGGTCTACATTGCAGTTCTTTTCTAACCCAAGATTCGCTGAAACAACAGTGCGAAACTGAATTTAACCAGCGACAAAGTTTGGCTGGTCATCGAGAAGGCTAAAGTCTTCAAGTTCATTGGCCTGGAAAGTTTAAATATGCTGATGCTGCACCAACCTGACGCTCTTCACTCCAGTCATAGCTGAAAACTGAAAAATAGATAGGAATCCGGAAAACCTGCCATCGAAGAAAGGTCTTATTGACCAGTTGAGACTTTGTTACTTTGATTCACAAAATGCAACACTTTTGCTTGTCCGTAAATAACCCGAAAACATAGTCCTAGATTCGGTCGATGGACGCACTTGGAAAGGACAAAGAAGCGTTGTTGGCAGCACACAAGGCAATCGACTGCCCAGTTCTAAAAAACGCTGCTGCTGTGTGTTCGTCGGGGACTAGTAGGATGCAATGGATAATGCTTCAGACCTGTAATAACGCCATACTACCCCGGAATGCCGTCTGATCTTAACTGAGCGTCATTTGCTGCCGAACCTCATCCCAGACTTATCATAACTCATCTCATGGATCTCAAAGACCATGTTTAGCCATGCGTATGCCATCCGCTGAACCAGACGGTCTATAGACAGGCTTAAACGACATTCATCGTGAGACAATCAACACCTCCGTCAACTCTTGCCTTTTAAATGCCGTCATCGCGGCAAAGCCCAACTATCGGAAATAAAGAGTACGAGCTTCATCGTGAAATAGGCACAACTCCAGATTGATTCCGACATACCCAACTTAAGTCCAATACATGGAAATGCCCACTCAAACTACATCTTCTAACACCCTTCTCCCTATGATTGGCAGAGCCCACCGTAAGATAAATTGACAACCATACAATAACCGTTAAGTTTCATATTATCATTAATTTATTTCTAAGTAGAACACTGTGACTTTTTCCGTTCTAAAAGAAGGTGTTAAAACTTTAGTTGTGATGTGTAAGTAATACCGAATAACACCAATGTTTTACAGAATACTGAAGATCATCAGGGCTCGCGAGCAGATTATAGGGAAAGAGTTAAAAATTTATTCATAAATAGAATAGCTACTAACCAGATATAGGCAAATCGGAACAAGTTATTTTTCGAAAGGATTTGGTGCCATTCCTTGCCAAATTTGGTTTGGAGACAGATTAATTTTTTGCTCTCCGCTCATTTTGTTCGGTCACATCTGGAGAAGAGCATTGGCGCGATGGCCTATGCTTGACTAACAAAGAATATGAAACTCGCCACATCGTTGGAAGATTTTTTGTGCTTCTATCTCACCTTTGCAAGAAGCAAGTGTGACACTTTTGGGTATCATCTATTGAAAGAACAGTACCCCAGCTTTTGGGCGGCTAACAATCTACTTCGCAATCGGGTGGCTGATTCAAGTAATTTTATTACCCTGCTGACAATAAAACAACAAATTCTTTTCATTTTGAAACCAAGTAAAAGAGCTATTTGTTAAGTTACGGCCTAACCGAAGAAGAACTTATAGACTCTCTATTCGATTTTCCCTTCGCGAATCCAGTTACTGCAGCTTGGGAATTTCGGGCGGGGTGTGTCGTTGTCAATGGGAATCTATTTAGCAGCTGTATTTTCAATAAAAACATCTAATGGGACCCAATTGGGAATAAAGTTCAGAACCTACAACACAAACAGCAGCCGCAGTCTGAACTAATTTTTAGAAAGAATTGGGCATTAGACCAGTGCTGCATATGTATGTGACTATTGTCGGTCAAAGCCTTCTACATACTGTGAACAACCTTTAGCTTAAATCCCATCTGTTGCCTACCGTAATCGGTAAATGGTTACGAAAACCGACGGATCTTGGCTGAATGTTTTGTTTCTGCAGGCATTGTTTTTTTGCGGTCCGACAAAAGAAAAGTGTCGGACTTAGCATTGCTGTTTGGAAATTATGTTAGGCCAACGAAATTCAACTTTTTCAGATCGCCACACATTTAATTAACTATAAAATGATTTTAATCACTCGACCTTACAACTTCGCTTTCGTTTTTGTAGCCGTATTGCAGAGTGTTGCTTGGTAAATCTTTAATTTCCACAGTTTTGTGATTTCAAGCGTCATAAAAGCTACTGATTGCTAATTGAGATATGCCAACTAAAATGATTACCACTCCTCCATGAATACAAACAGAGTAGAGATCTCCAGTTACTGTACCTAGAGCACAAGCGCACTTACGGTGACTAAAATATAAATAGGGACGGGATGTTTTAAAAAGGTTTTTCCTTTTTTGATTTTGTTTTTAATTTTAAATTTTTTTTTTTTTATAAAATTATAACTCACTATCTAACATGCTAAAGAAAATTTTAAACTTTGTAAAAGATTTATAAAAATTCTACGATTTTCAACAAATGTTCATCAAAATTGCAAACTTTTTATTCAGAGTTTTTAATTTCAAAAAAATTCTAGATATGGAATTTTGTACCCCATTAAATTTTAGTATAATGAAGTCTAAAGTGGCTACAAAATACCGTTGATTTTTGGTATTTTACATTTTTCGTATACAAAGTATGTTAGACAATTCTTTTTTATGGTGAAAATGACAACTTTAACAAACAACTTTTAAAAAACCAACGGTAAACCTAGGCAACTTCCAACATACAAATTATTATTCTAAAATTGAATGCGCTACAAAACTGCTTACTCAAAATGTCTCCAAGAAGTCTTATCAAAAAGCTGTAAATTTTTATAAAATTTCATCGACTTTTCCTTATTTTTGTACAAGGTTTGAATTTCAGGCTTACATGGTTTTTATTAGATGACGAGCTATAATTTCACAAAAATAAATAAAATAAACAAAAAAAAAATTTCCAAAACTTGGTAAAATTTCGCGTCCCTATTTATAATTTCCCCAACGTACATATGTACATACTTATTTCGCACTGTTGTTGCTTGTTGTGTTGGCATGTAATTGCATTGTAACGAAAAAGTTAATACTACTTTGCTGTCCACTTTTTCGCACGCAACTAGGTAAACACAAATACAACAACAACAACAAACAAACACAGAGCTATAATCGCAATAAAAAGTGGATAGTTATAGTATGAATGGCTAAATCTGTGTTGAACGTTAGTTTAGACGGTGTTGTTGTTCTGCCTCATTATTTACACAGTTACACGATTCGCTTTTCACAAACAAACAAATCCACAAAAACAATAACAAGAAAAAAGCCTTAACCTAAAAGAAATGCGACTTTGTGGGAGAAGGGAAAGGGGCATACGTACAAATGTATGTAAATACACATATACATATTAGCCACAGATGGGGTAGGGTTTGTAGATGCTGCTAATACCCGAGTTGGGAGAGTAGACCGGCGCCGCTTCGTCGTGTGACGACTCCACCATAAATGCAACACGATCGCTTTGTCACACTAAAGCCGCCATGCTGCAGCAAACACATACAGCTGCGGTCAAAATAATATCTAGCACCAAAATTAAAAACGATATTGTTTGCAACTCATGTTTTTTGTACTATTGATATTTAATAATTTTATTTTAATATGTATTGTTGTTAAGCTGTGTACCACGATTATGTTTATTAGGTAAAATGGCAAAAGCAACAAAGTCTAAGCGGCAGAAGTTACAGCTACTATTTCGGAGATCACCACATCTCCTCATCAGACTACTCTTTCTACACTTCAGCACCATTGTTGTGGAAATAATTAATAATTTTCGTTTAGATATAGTTCGGCCTATAACAAAAAACCACATAAAATTAATAAAATTTCCAAAAATTTCATCAAAATTTAAAACTTTTTATGTAGAATTTTTATAAAATGTTTGATTCATTTTAGTATAAAACAGTGCAAGTTGTAAGTCGCTGATCATGTTCTTCCATATAACGAAAATAATCAACAATCTGGGCAAAAAAATTCTAAAAAATCAACGGTAGAGCTAAAACTTACACTTTATTGCACTTAATTTGAATGGGCTACAAAACTGCATACTCTAAAATTTTCGAAAAATTTAATGAAACAATCTTAAAGCTTGTTGAAATTTGATTAACTTTATGTAAGCTTTGAAACTTTTACGTAAATGTGTGGTCTCTGTTATAGGTCGCACTATAATTTAAATGAAAATTATTAAAAATTAATAAATAAACATAAGTTGCAAGCGACATCATTCTGAACTTTGGTGCTATTACTTTGCCCTCAACTGTACATGTGTATATACATATATATATTTGCATGGAGCTATATATGAAACCACTTCGTTGAATCGATGAGTTCATACTGGAAGCCCCATTGGTCAGTGCAATGCAACGTAAGTTGCCAGGTGTGAATTCAGACAACAACATTCGAATGTGCTACTTTAATCAGCTTTTGCTAATCAAATCTCCATATGTATGCACTTACTATATGTTGCATATATAGATAGTACATAAATCTAAATACATACATATATCTATGTTGTGCATATGTATGTATGTATGTATGTATGTATTTGTGCGCTGATGATTCATACACAGCGTTTATCGCTTAGTTCCCCCCTGAGAAGAATTCAGGATAAACGGGGTCAACCTGATGAAGTCTGCAGCTTGAAAATCTCAATTGAAAAGTCATAAGAATGTCTAGAACAAGTTCGTTTCCAAGGCTCACAGGCAATGTGAACAGCAAATAAACTAAGTGCGTTTAGTCCCTACATGCGGACGAAGTGAAACTTTTTCCTAGTCTTAAACTTAATCTTAACCTTAATCTTAGTGTTCATCTTCAATTTTGTCTTCAGCTTTATCATCTTCACTCTCATCATCTTCATATTTATCTGCATCTTTATTTTTTTTCTATGTGGGATTTTCACCTGGTCCAAATAGTATGTTAGGTTAGGTTAAATTGGTTGCCTGTATCTAGTTGCGGAACAAGGCAAGCTTGGGCCCAGTGAGTCCGTTGAAGTACCAGTTTATGAATTCCGAGACAGTTAAAGAAAAATTAGTTAAATTAACGTTATCTAGCCGCTGCTAGGACAGGGCAGTCACAGAGATAGCTGAAGTCAATTGCAACCAGATCCATTATACCCAATAAAAAGGTTGCCGAAGCTTGGCCGGTCAGCTCGACTACAAGTACGAACTGTCGACCATCTTATATATGTCTTCTCTAAGAGGTAGGATTTATGCCATAATTTATTGGTAGATAGCGGTGTGCCCACATGGTGAGGAGGTTCCCTTCTTCGCAAATTCATCTGCTATGCAATTACATTGTATGTTTGTATGACCTGGCACCAAACACACTAAGGGGATAGAAAATTTAGCAGCTAACTTATTAAGCACTTGCCAGCATTATATTTCCATTATTTCCGAGGTTTCACAGAAGCGAATAGCTACTTTTAAAAACTTACTTACGAAGATGATGCACTTTGTGTGCATTCTGATTTTTGGGTTTTTTTTAGGCCATTTTTCGGTTCTTTCGGAACCATTTTTCGAGTCTTTTGGAATCGATTTATGGTTAGGTGCTGGCAGCAATCCAACAAGAACTGCTTGCTGAGCAATATGTCGTGTCTCGTTGAGCGGCATCAGAAGTCCTCCCGTCGCAATGCTAAGTACGGTGACGGTAAAGTTTAGTTAAAGGACCTTCACAAAAAAGTACCAAAACACAATTGGGGTATTCACAACGGTGTGGTTAGCGTCTTATTGTTGTATGTCCTAAACTTCAAACACCTGAAAAATATATTAAACGGGTTGGCAAAGTACCATCAAAGTCATATTATGCATTTTCGCAGTGTTGAAAAATAGTTAGTTGTGGTTTAAAGTTCTCTAACCATTTATTTAAGCTTTTAGAGTTTACGACATACAACAATACGACACTTACGACACCGTTGTGAATCCCTCAAATGTCTGCTCGCCTAGCTATTTCCAACTAACGAATGACGTAGTTTTTTTTGTATGTACATATTTCTTTCAGATGTTGGTCGCTTGGTAGAAGTGTCGGCTGAGCACTTGCTAAGGACCCCATTTGATAACACCATTTTGATATGTTTCCCCTGGGAACACTGATATTATTTGCTTACATGATTCGTCAGTTTCGTAAAATCACTTGGATTTTTCGGTTATTTACTCTATTTATGTTAGTAATGGTCTAAGCCAATGGTTTTATGGCCGAGAACCCGGATAAGAATTATTTTATACTTTGTTGCCGATGAGGCTAGTATCAGAAGGGCCGCGTGGCTATCTGCAAAAATGTATGATTTTCGTAAACATTCGCAGTATCTTTCTAATGCTTTGCCCTCTCCAATTCCAGCACTTCAGGGGGATTCATCGTTCTAGTCCAGAACTTTTCTTCCATGTGAAAAAGTTCTGAATGCTTTTTACTTTAATTTTCAACTTAAGTTCAGAAATATCTGTAGTCGACGAGTGGGAGAAGACATCCACCGTCTCAGAGAACACATCCGCACCCACACCGAAGTCCATTTTGGACCCGTCCGCATTGAAGTCAGTACAACTTTCCTCGACCATCCTGCCACTACTCCGATTCCGACTACATAGAAGGAGACTTCTCCTGAATTACCTGATTACCTAAGCTTGTCGAGAATTCGGCTATGATCGTACTGCTGCGCTCTCCAACAGCCTGAGTCTTTGAGTATTTGAACTAGCCCCTTTGAATTTGCCGACGGATTTCTAAATTTCATTTAAGAAATCAATTTCTAGAAACCAAAGCTTAAAACTTGTTTTTCATAAAAGTATTTATCGAAAATCTATATATGTATGTATATGTAAATCGTATTTCGCTAAAACCCATTATGTCTAGTGGCTGAGAACTGCGTAATTTCTCGACGACTGCATGCGCCTTCAGTCAATCATGCAGCCAGCCAGCCAGCCAGCCAGTCAGTCAGTCACTTAGACAAGCCATGCAACTGGTTCATGATAATTGTAGACTCCATTGTTTTGTTATTGTTGTTACTTACTCCCAATAAGTGGGACCGCTTATCAGCTTTGTGCATGGTACGCATGTCGGTAAGCAAGCGAGCACTCTTTTTGGGGGCGTCATGACATCGTTCAGGCGTTCAATGTATGTATGTATGTATGTATGTGGATATGTATAGCCAAATGGGACATATTTGAACAAAGGCATTTATATGCATATTTCTTGCCTTGTGTACTACACTTTTTGCTTCTTCTACACCCACTTGCACCGTCCACCCGCGGCTGTGCTTTGTTGTTGGCCGCCCCTTTCTCTTTTCTCACTATCGCGCTCTAATGCTTACTTACTTCTATTATGTACATACATATACTCTTTTGCATTTTACAACAGCAATAAACTACTTAAGTCTCTAAGAAAAAAGTAAGCTTCCAGCACTCACTCAAGTCGAAATGCTAACCAACTGACTGAGTCGTCGTAAGCGCAGTCAGCGCGCTCAACCGAAAAAAGTGAGATCAGCAGTTGAGTGCAAGTGAGCAAAGCCGTCGTTGTACCTATGAAGACAGTGCGCTAGTCGCTAAATTTTTCGGTACCAAGTACCCATGTTACGGTCTCCGACGTTGTCGAGACCTCCGCCGATAGCGCAAACTTTTCACAAAAGACCAAAAACGAGAAAAAGAGTAATGAAATTAACTGCGGAAAAACAAAACATTTTCCAAACTTTTCTAAATAAGTATGCATAAATTGCTCCAAAGCGTTCGACGATCATGGTAAGTTAAATGCTCCATTGTTGCTATGTATTTCGGCTATGTGTGGTGGAGCTATTTTGGTGTGGTGTGTGTTCGCATACTCTCTGAAACCTCATACTCAAGCGTGGTGTATTATTTTGCTCTGCATGTGGAGCTCGATCGGGCATCTGCTTGTTTGCAGCCGCATTGTGACTCGCGACTTGAATAGCTTGCCTCCTGGTTCGTCGGTTTCGCTGGTGCGCTTTTCGTGCGCTCTTTTCGCTGCTGCTGACTACTAACTGCTATTTTCGTCTCAGTCAAATCCAAAACCTTCCCAAACGATCCCATCTGCCGGCCCAACGTTCAAGCAGCATTTCAGTATTTGGTCAAAGTGCTCCGAAACTGGTCGTGTTGTTGCTTGCTCGTCGTTGGACCCGCGCTTGTTATATTCGCTATTACATATATATATATAGTATATTGGGAGCTTGCCATCCTCGCCGCGCTTGTCTCCAATACCTCGACCAAGCTTTGTCTTCTCCAACGTATGTAGTTGGGAGACTATTGAAAATTTGGTTGTGCCGTAATTTGCAATTTAATGCTGGCGTGAAATAATAAAAAAAAAAGTTTCAACTACATTTAAAAAACGGGGAGCGTAGAAATTCTTGTTTTCATTGCGAATAACTTTCATGGCGCATAAAATTATTGAAAATCCACAGTTCGAAAAGTAAATTGTAGGTAAAAGGCAGTACGTACATACATATGCAAAAATTTGAGCAACGAAAAGCGCTGTAGTAATTGCTGCGATTCGAAAGGTGTGTATGCTTCGCTATCGAACTCGTGAAATTAGACAAAAAAACAAATTTTCTAAAAAAAGGTAATTGTAGAATTGCTAAAAATAAAAGCAAATAAATTTGCGAAGTGAAAATTTAGAACGAATTTGCGGCTTTAACACGAAAACAGGTTTTGTAGTCAATTACCAATAAAAGCAGCGCCAGCCATAACAATTTCACACTCATACAACGAAAAGTAGATATGTATATGTATATTAAAAAAAAAAAAAAAAACATAACGCAAAAATCTGCATTAAACAACAACGCAAAATTCACTGGAAATTTTCAAACAAACAACCCAGAAAAAGACTTAACAAAAAACGAAACAAGGTCTGTAAGATCTTTGTCGAAACATTGCTAAAACATCGTCAGCGCAACACTCACAAAAGTGGCTAGCAATAACAAGAAAGCAACAACAATAATATACGTTATATTTGTGGTTAAAACACCTAGTACAATAAGGTATGTGCATACACATGTATACATTAGGGTGCTTCACAACAAAAAAAATTGCTGTTTTCCACCGGAATTATAAAATGTATTATATTTTAACAGCCAATTTCGCGAATTTCTTAAATTTTATATTTAAATTGACAGAAAATACAAAACATTTCCATTTAAATATATTCTGTTGAAAGCTGAAAGATTTTTGTCAAAATTTTTCGAAAACGTATTAAGATTTACGTGAGCTGGACCGGTTTCGAAATGACTTCAAAAAATGCGTTGAAAAAATTCTTTAACATTTTTATGCAGACCCATTTAAAAAAAAAAAAATTTTATTAAAAAAGGCGGAGGTGTGTTTATATCGATCTACCACACGTAAATCTTAATATTTTTCTGAAATGTAAGATACTTTATAATTCCGATGAAAAAACAGTACCGATATTTTCTTTTAGATGGAAAGTGATTCACCCTAATATATTTGTATGTATGTACACAGATACCTATATTTGCAATATTGTAAATAAAACCAGCAGAAATAACAACAATAAACAAGCGAGTACAAATTAAAAGTAACAGTAAACGATATTTGATATTTAATTTGCAAATTTTCGCCTTCCGTTGCCGCTGTGCAAATGAAAGTGTTTAGCGTAGTTATAAAAGCCTATCTATGTGTGTGTATGTGCATATGTATACATATCTCAAATACTTACCTATGTACGTAGAAAGCTTTTTATTAAACAATTAATTGCGCAAAATTTTCATTTTACACTACGGACTATTTTTATGCTGAAATCATCCACATCACCGTTGTTGAAAACCTTCTTATTTTGCTATTTTAGTAAAGAGAAAATCACAATGATGGCGTCGCTGCTGAGTGCAAAACGCAAAGGAGCGTTGCCAGATGGCGAAAAAGTGAGCAAGGCACAGAAAAACCACTAGATTTAGGTATTTTGTTTCAATGTTACACTGAAAAAAAATAAACCATATCGTGTTCGTTTCAAACTAAAAAACATGATTTGGCGTTAAATTTTTATTGGGAAATTTTTTCATTTGAACAAGCTTTCGTTCTTACTTACGTTTCGTACTTCACAGATGCTCTTTCACAATAACAAAAACTAAACAAAAAGCAAAAAATCACGGAACGGAAAATAACACTAAGATGGCACAATGCCGAAACAGGTTTATCTCCAAACAAAACTTGACTAGGGATGAGGGAAATTCGTTCCAAAATAAAAAAAATCAAAAACTTTATGTTGCATCAGACTTTAATAGAATCTTGTATCACTTGGAACCCAAGAGCTCAGTTAACTTAACTGAATATATTGCCAAACCTGTTATATAAGAAACTTTGTTGGTGATTAGTGAAAACTTAACTTGGTGTAAGAGACTTAAGAACCTGTAGATTTTAAACTCTTAAGTTTTGGCTTAACGTCGTAAATACGGGTTTTACAAATATCTAGACTGTTGCGCCACCTATCGACACAATTTTTTTGGTGGAGCTATTTCTTTCCATGCCGGCGATATACATACATTCTAAATTTTAACAAAATCGTGTTTTCAAAAAATCTTGACTTCTGCGCCACCTAGCGAATTAACTAATCTTTTTTAGCTCATCGGGAAGTTCCGCCCTGCTTTAGAAAGGTGCTTCCCATGATGGTTCCTCACTTAGAGATAGTATTCTTCTTCCTCGTAAAACATGTCACATCATTCGTTTGTGCTTCTTGATAACTGGCGGCAATTAAAAATATTGCATTAAGCCAGGCTTTGTCTACTTGGTCTTTCCCGCGCATAAACACTGGAAGTGTGTCTTAACATGATCGATTTGGTCCCTTGTTTTTCGATGCGGACACAGATACCTAGCTTTTAAAATGCTTTTGTGCTGTAATCTGGGTATTTCGCTATGGAAGCCGAATTTTCCGACTGTTGGATCAAAGGTACTTGCTTTCCCCGCTCTGGTATTAAGGTCATCAAGTTTCACGCCAATAGGTATCATTTTGAATCCTTAAACCTCCTTATCTATGTGAAGTTGAGGAATTGGGGCAATCGCCCTATCTTTATCTCCGCAAGATCACTCAGTTCCCAAAGATTTCAAGACCCATGAACCTTCTCCAAAGTTATTGAGATTCGCATAGTAAATGCCTTACGTATTGCAGCTCTTTCGCGTTTTTCTAGGGCCTGAAGGAGTCATATTCAGCTGTCCCATGACCAAATAAAATTCCTCGCCACTCAGCGTTAGGAGTTCTTTTGAAAACTTTCAAGCCATATTTTGCTCCCGTTGAATTTTTTCGTGGTGCGGGTGCCTTCATACGTATTTCCATCTTTCTCCGGCTTCTGATGAGAAGAAATCTTATACATGTTATCAACCTCCCTAACGACGACGAAAGTGGAAAGTAGGCGCTCTTCCAAGCAAGCTCGCCCGCCATCTCAATGCCTGTTATCTCCCAGCACCTATCTATCAGGTAAACCAAAAACTAATTTGCCATCCCGTTAAGTTTTCAAATTAATTATGATAAAGCTTAACGCTTTTAGAGCTGCCTGACTTTCTGAGAGAATGTAAATTATACTATGTGCGGCACTCAGCAGCCAACCTTTTAGCCGCAAGTCCGGTAGGCGGTATGACTTTTGAAGTCCAAGTTATATATCCTTGTTGTCCAATTAATATCCGTCAGTGTAGAATCGAATAAAGTGAGTAGGGCTTCCTAGTATGGGTTCATTGCTTCTTAATAAAGATTGCTGCTTTGTAGCCTCACTCACGAAACGGTCGCTTCAACCGCTGTTTCTGAAAACTCCGAAAAAGCACTAATTTGAAAGATCGATACGTGCCGGGTAAAATGTTCTTTAGAAATATTTTGGCAAAATTTTCTGTTTAGGCGCGACTACTAATACTAAGCGCCTAAATACATGCTATGCACATGCACTTCTCAGTAAGGGGTCGGTTTGGGCCGATACTAAAAAACTTCGCCAATTGCCTCTCTCCTCTGCGCATTTTCGCCAGTTGTTCATCCCAAGTGCGTACAGGTCCTTCTTCACTTAGTCCTTCCAGTTTTTTCGTGGGCGCCCTGTCCTTCGTTGTTCACCCATGGGTGCCGAGTCTAATGATATTTTCTTCGGAGCCTCGTCAAAGAACATGGCCAAGCCAGCGCAATTGTATTTGTATGCGTTTAACTACGTCCACGTCGTTAAAAACCTCGTACAGTTCGTCATTCCATTCTCTTCGGTACTCGTCGCCCACGTGAATAGGACCATAGATCTTGGCCTAGAATGGTTCTCTCAAAAGGCCCCGAAAGCCTTGTCATCCATGTTTTTGTTCGTCGAGAGAGGGCTCTGCTTTTCAATTGCCTACCGAGCGCAAAGTATTACCTGCTTGAGAGTTACTCGTCGTCTGATTTCCAGGCTGACGTTATGGTTTTATGGCTTTGAATAATTTATGCCAGTGATAAATTCCCGGATCCGGTTGCTTATTTCACCCTTTATGCATCTGGTAACGCTATTCATGCAACAAGTGAGCAAACCAAATGATTACAACAATAGTTATTGCTGACTTTTATGTTGTTGTTTTTTCTTTTCAAATATTATTACCGCCGTTGCTTGTGTGTAGAGCTAATACTTAGTTTACTGCTTTTGCTATGATTTGCTATTTCTGATCTGATTTAGCCTTTGTTGTTAGTATTATTATTTTTGTTGTACAAGTACTGGTTTAGTTGATCGGTCGCTTGGTCGCTTGGTCGCTTAAACGTTTGAACGCTTAGTCGATTGGTTGATTGGTGCGTTGGGCGGACGGTCGATCGCCGCTTGATTTGCTCATTTGTTGAGCTTGCTTACTTGCTCGCTTACTTGTTTGATCGGCCTGACAGTAGTTAATTTTTCTTTATGTCTTTGCTTTCGTACATTTTTTTTTTACATGCTTTCATTATATTTTTTACATACACATACTCTGTGTGCATATGCATGTGTGTGGATAATTGTGCATGTATGAGTGCAGGCTTGTGAAAAATTGCGCTCTCGCTGCCAGTGGTGGATTACTTTATGTGGCCACCAAATCAGCATTGGATGCCAAACAGTAATCGGTTGAAGCTCAGCTTGAAAGACGCATATAGTCACTGCCTCTGCTTGGTGTTCGGCGCTTGTTGCCTTTGTCTTGTTCACTTGCAGGTCTACATTGTTGAGTTTTAGTTCGCGGCTAAACGTGTGGTGAGTAAGACGTGTTCATTCGTTCGTTAGTTTGCTCTATTGCCGTCTTGAACCTGTAATTTTGCTATAATACATGGAGCATTGTGTTGTTTTGTAGACATTAATATTGAATTGTGTGCTAAGCGGTTGCTTTAGCTGCGGGAATCAAATGTCTACGACATAACTTAGGCGGTGAGAGTCGTCGTTAAGGCGAGGTGGAGGGTGGTGTTATTTAGTCAGAGGCAAAAGAGTTTTCTTAAACTCCTCGTTTGCTGCAGAAAAAAGTAGTTTTAGTTCAATTAAAAATAGGCTTTTCCCCGTTTCACCACGAAATTTGTGTACTGCATTAAAAACAGCAACCTTTGACTCAGCTTAAATGACTGCGGGCAAATGTGAACAAAAACACCAAAGAGACATTTCGAGTAGAAACGGCTTTGTGAGACCAAAATTGCAGAATAAAAAATTCAGTTTTTTTCTTAACGACAGCAATATAAAAAATGCCATATGTAACCGGTGGTGAAGTGATGTGAATTTTCTATAGGTATAAAAGTGTATGCGTGTGACCATAAAAATCTACTATAAACACATATGCATATGAACTTTTGAACAGATCGTCAAGTTCAGCTTCGTTCAGCGCAGCTAGCATTAAAGCCAAATTCCAACTATTGCTATTTTTATGCTTTTTTTTAGTTATTTTTATATTTTTTTTTCGCAATTGGCTGACCACCTGTTGCTCAATACATGGCCATACTCAACCATCTGCGAAACTCTATGCGCATGTGTGCAACCAGGCATATGCATACATACAAAACTACACATACATATGTACATATGTACGTACGAATGCATATACATACATATATGTATATATATTTCATCTGTGTATCTGCATATAGCAATTTTTCACTTGCATATCGGCCTACTACTTCAAATTGGCTTCCTAACTGACGAACGAAATGGCTGGCTGGCTACCTGTTGTCAGCCGATCGACAGGCAAATGCCAAGCATTCTTCTTCCTAGCCACCACTTTTCACCTGCATTCGTACACACTAGGGTGGTCCAAAACAAAATAGGTAAAGTCGGAATTTTAATGCTCTCACCCCCTAGGATTGTCTATATCGAAAAAATGTACCCCTATTTATTTTTTTTTAATCGATAAGAATATTTATGGCTCGCTCAAAGTTTTCCATATATTTTATATGGGAAAAGAACAACTTTTCGTAGCAATGGTATGGAATTCTTGAAAATCAGTATTTTTCGATCAGAAAACTCTGCTTATCTTAAGGGGACTTCCAACAACAATATCCAATTGTTTATTTAACAATTTTTTAATACTAAAGATTTTTTATTTATCCCCCCATTGCATTTTCTTGGCGTTTAGGCGGACCTATAAAATAAAGTTACTATGAAATATGGTTAAATAAATAATTGAGTATTATTATTGAGTATTCCCTGAAGAGAGACAAATTTTCCCGATTGAAAAATATTGATTTTCAAGAATTCGATACCATTTCTACGAAAAGTGATTTTTTCCGCCATATAAAATACGTGGAAAACTTTTTTGATTTCTAAAACAGAAAATAGAGGTATATTTTTTCGGTATAGAACATTCCTAGGGGTGAGAGCATATTCATAATTCCGACATTACTTTTTCAAATGCAATATGGACTACCCTAATACACACACACTCGCACGCATCTAGTTATACCAAAAACTATG